GATGGGCGGTCAATAGATGAAGATCGACAACTGTTCACGGTTGCTCTGCAGGAAATGTGGAGTGGCAAAGCCTCGTACCAGCTGTGGGGGCTGCACCGCCAGCTGACGTTCACCTGAGGCTTGGAAATCCAACAGGGCCTGGCTGCAGAGCCCTGCCCTCACCCCACCAGAAGCCACGGACGCCGGATCCTCAGGCTGCCTTGGTCCCTCAGGTGTGGGTCTGTCTACAGAATAAACCTGGCTGAGTGCACACCGCAAAATCCACGGGAACCAGGCCTGGGAGGGCCCCAAGATGTCCCTGAGTCCAAGGCCTCCCCGGCAGGCGGCTGCCTCCACCCCCAAGTCACCTGCCGCTCTGCCGCACAGGCAGCCGGCAGGCGCCTCCTTCCCCAGGGACGTGGCAAGGCTCACCCCCAGGACAAGGCTCACCCCCAGGACAAGGCTCACCCCCAGGACAAGACTCACCCCCAGGACTCCTTCAGGGAGAGCCTTAACTCCGCCCTGTTCTTCCACTCCCCGGAGGTCGCCCCAGCTCCACAGAGGGCACAACATGGAAGGCGACAGCCAGGAAAGGAACCGAGAAGCCTGCGCCAGCTCCAGTTTCCGAGGGCCCAGCACCATGGCACAGCAGGACCAGTGTGTGGTTCACAGCGTCCCCCAGGGCCAAGGAACCAGCTTCCTCCTGGAAGCACCCAGGGGGCCCAGGCAGTGGGTGCTGTCCCTGGTGCTGCCATCCAGACCATCGGCCAGTCTGGCCTCAGCCCTGACAGCAGCCATGGGAGGTCCGGCGTCCCTGTGCCCACTATGTCTCTGGGCGGTGCCACCCCACCAGACCCCACGGCTACTCACACACAGCCCCTTTGGGCCACTGGCAGGGGTGGGTGCTGGGACCCCCAGGGAAGACGGTGAGTCGGCAACAGTAGCAAGGCTGGCAGGCGCAAGAGGTCGAGGGAGGGTCCAGGGGTCTGGGATGAATCTGCCCGGCCTGCCCTTGGAGGCAGCCATTCTGGCCTTGGAAACATCTAGATGTCATGCCATGGATGTAGGATGAGAATCAGATCCCTTTCCTGGAATCTGAGCAACACAAGAGCCCAAGACATCCTAGGATTTTGCTCCAGAATCACCTCGGAGTCTCAGTGCCCATGGCCCATTCCACTGATGTGTCACCTCAATGCAGTCACAGCACAGTCAGCCCACAGGGCCAGGGACCAGCACAGTGCAGAGCCACCCACCATCACTGGTGCATCCCACTGCAGGGATGAGGACCTGGGCCCATAGGCTTCCCACACCACCTTCCCTCGGGCTCCAGGGTCTGTCTTCCTGGGAAATCCCTTCAAACATCCCCTTCCATTAGAGAAACCACAGCCTGTGACAAAAACCTCCTCAGCGGCTCCATGTTCTTCCTGCCCCTCTTTTCTCCCCACCTCCCGGCATCTGAGAAGCAGACACCCAGGCCTGTGTTGGGTAGGAGACTATAAACCCCCTCTGCCTAGGAAACCTCAGCCCCCTGCCCCGCAAGTGGTGGCTGCCTTCCACCCTCGTGTGGGGAGTGGTCACGGTGAAGGCCCGCGTGTGGGAGGCCCCCGAGCTGCTGCACCACCAGGCTGCCGTCCGGTGACGCCAGGCCTGCACGCGAGCCTTCCCTCGTGATGAGCCTGGAGGTAATTCTGGGGTCCAGCTTTTGGACCAGCTTTTTGGTGAGCAGTTTTCCAGTCCACACAAATCAGAAGGTGGACCCACAGTCAAACAGATAGAACAGCATGACCGCAACAGAAAAACAATTTTCAAGGGAAGATGCAGAAAGGTGAGCTTTGAGCAGAGTGATGAGATGCCACCAGGCCAAGTCTGGGATCAGCTGGCATCGGGCGCACAATCCTACAGACACCAGCCATCCCACAGACCTCCTGGCACTGGGCACCAGAACCGGGTCAGGGTCAGCACCTGTGCCAGCTACATGGTGTCTGAATGTGGTCCTGTGCACCTGTGAATACCAAGAAGGCCATCACCACAGGAACTCAGAGCATCCCCGTCCACCCGATACACTCAGAGCACAAAAGGGGCATGACACGGCAGCTCACACCTGTCATCCCAGCGCTTTGGGAGGCCAAGCCAGGGAGGACTGCTTGTGGCCAGGAGTGTGAGACCAGCCTGGACAACATAGCAAGACCCCATGTCTGAAGAAAAATGTTTTTAATCAGCTGGATGTGATGGCATGCACCTATAGTCCCAGCTACTCAGGAGGCTGGGGCAGGAGGATTGCTTGAGCCCAGGAGTTCAAAGCTTCAGTGAGCTATGATTGCACCACTGCAGTCCAGCCTGGTGACAGAGCAAGACCCTATCTTAAAAAAAAAAAAAAAAGATGGCTCAAGCCTGTAATCCCAGCACTTTGGGAGGCCGAGACGGGTGGATCACGAGGTCAGGAGATCAAGACCATCCTGGCTAACACGGTGAAACCCCGTCTCTACTAAAAAATACAAAAAACTAGCCGGACGAGGTGGCGGGCGCCTGTAGTCCCAGCTACTCGGGAGGCTGAGGCAGGAGAATGGTGTGAACCCGGGAGGCGGAGCTTGCAGTGAGCTGAGATCCGGCCACTGCACTCCAGCCTGGGTGATAGAGCGAGACTCTGTCTCAAAAAAAAAAAAAAGAAAAAAAACCACAAAGTGTCTTCTCCCAAGGCTTCCTCCATTACCCCAGCACGGCCCACAGTCCCCAAGAGTCCAGGTCAGACGCAGGCTATGGCTTCCCACGGCTCGAGGCCGTGGCTGTGCCCCATCTGGGCTCACTGAACGGCCTCCGTGCTCGTCCCTCGCCAGCCCAGCCTCCCCTCCCCTCTGTTCCTCCTTCCAGCTCAAGGGATTGGATTATCACCTTGGGAAAGGGATGTGCCTATTTTTGACCAACTGAATTGAAGTAAGGAAAGGCATTATTTCTAGACAGAGCGTAAGACTCTGTTCTCTTTCATGTCTCCAAAAATCAGAGTCAGAAGAGCTGAGCAGGGCCAGCAGTCGGCCTTCCCGTGGATGCACAAGTTTGTGGTTTCTGGCTGCACGTCTTGGCCGGAGATAAAAACCATCCGATGATGGGCCGAGGGGAGTCAGGGCCCTCCACGAAAGCCGCTGGAGAGAGAGCCAGGGAGCACACCAGCACCTGGACTTCCCGAGTCGCAGCACAGTGATGGCCACGAAACTGGGCTCCAGGCCACCATTCCTGTGCAGGGAGGTGGCCGGGCTGAGGAGGCTGGGATCACACCAGGGCTCTGAACATCCGGAAACATGGCTGCCCTTCCTATCCACTGACCAGTTTCCTTCTCAGGAGCCCAGAGAGCCAGCCTGGTCCCCAGCCACAGTTCTGTGCCCACCGCCTTGCTGGATGGCAGCTGGAGCTCACTGAGAGCTCAGTGGCCAATCACCTGCCTGCCCGTGGCCCTGGAGGGAATCGGGGAGGAGTCCAGAGCCTAGGTTTGCAACTGCCTTTGGGACAGCTGCAGCCTTTGGGACAGCTGCAGGCAACATCCCAGGCCTGCAGGGGACTTTATTCGACCTTGACCCAAGCTGGTCGGGGCAAAGCATTGTGGGGAGCAGGGTGTCTCTTGAGTTCCTTGCACACACAAGTGCACACACACAGGTGCACACACGCTCCTTTCCAAACCTCTGCCTTCAGGCTGCAGGCACCTAGCTTCTCACCCGGGGCCCAACCCACCCTCCTGACCACTCCATCAGCTGTCTCAGCGCAGGGCCAGCCTGCGCTCTGGCTCGCCTGGGAGCGGGTTTTTCTTCACCTCCCAAATCACGATAAAATCACATGAATGTCCTGTCGGCGGCAGAAGGCTGCAGCAGCAAAGCTTCGGAATTCCTCTTAGGTCCCTCCAGGGAGAGGTGGGGGTGGTCTTGAGGGGACAGTTTAGGAACAGACCCCTTACCGTGAAGACCCCCGGGACCCCATTGCTCACACCCCTCTCTGCAGACTCTGCCCTCTGACTTGGCTCTCAGAGCAGCTCCGCCATCACCCTGTGGGGTCAGGAAAGAGACCCCAAGACACTGGATCCCCACTTCATGTCCAGTGACAGAAGAAACTACAAACCCAGCAAAGACCTGCACACATGCCGTGCCTCCGTGGGTTCTGAAAACAAACATTTACTGGTGAATTTATCTGTGATCCTGCAGCGAGAGAAGCCTCTCCAACGAAGACGCAAACTGCAAAAGCTACAGGGAAAGGGCTCTTGACCAGGAAGATACACGGAACCCACAAAAATGCAAAGCTAAACACCGTTTTTAAAAATCAAAATACTACAAACTGAGAAAAGGCATTTGCAATACACATGACAAACAAGGGGCTAATTTTCTTACAATGAACTTATACGGATTATTGAGAAAACCAAGCCAACAGGAGATGGGGCAGAGGCCACGAGGGACACTCATGGTACAAGAGTGCGTCAGATCTGAGACTTCCCTGCCTCAGTCCCCATTTCACAGTCCAAGCCACAATAGCAAGGATGTGCCTTTTGTCTTGGATACAGCCAGTGTCAGTTGCCCATATACCATGCAGGGGGCAGGGGATGAGGCATGTAAGTGGCCTAGCCCTTCTAAAAGCAATTGGCAACAGTGATCAATAGTCCAGCTGCACCCAGTTTAACACAGTAATGATTGCAACTGTGAAGTTCCACAGTCAGCCAGCCCATAAAAATTTATCAAGACCGATGTGCAGTGACTTTCACAACTGAACTGTAAGATCAAAAAGCCCTGGGCTACCCCGTGTCCATGACAGGCGAGGTGATGTGACCATGTCACAGCCTAACATGGACCCTCGTGCAGATGTTACAAATTAGGTGGAGCGGCATGCTGATAAGAACATATCCCAGAGACAACAAAACGCCTTTGCAGGAGTCCAGGACACTGCACACCACACTCCTCTTTACGTAAATGAGAGACTGTATGTGGCAAACATATGCATGTGTATAAAGACATACACATGTGGCCAGGTGCAGTGGCTCACACCTGTCATCCCAGCACTTTGGGAGGCTGACGCAGGGGGATGGTTAGAGCCCAGGAGGTCAAGGCTGCAATGAGCCATGATCACGTTCCTGAACTCAGTGATCACGCCACCCCACTCCGTGATCACGCCACCGCACTCCCTGATCACGCCACCGCACCCCGTGATCATGCCACCCCACTCCTGATCACGCCACTCCACTCCCTGATCACGCCACTCCACTCCCTGATCACGCCACGGCACCCCGTGATCACGCCAACCCACTCTGTGATCACGCCACTCCACTCCCTGATCACGCCACCGCACCCCGTGATCACGCCACTCCACTCCCTGATCACGCCACTCCACTCCCTGATCACGCCAACCCACTCCGTGATCACGCCAACCCACTCCGTGATCACGCCACTCCACTCCGTGATCACGCCAACCCACTCCGTGATCACGCCACTCCACTCCCTGATCACGCCACTGCACTCCAGCCTGGACAACAGAGCAAGACCTATGTTTAAACACACACACGACCCTCGTGGACACGCACACGCACTGGTGCACAGACACAGTGACCTTCAGGTCCCATCTTCTGCTTCTCTACACTACGTCCATGTTTGAACCTTCTACTTGAGCTATTTTTGTCGGCAATAGGGGTTACCTGGGTGTGAGATTATGGGTTCTTTTCTGGTTTCTTCTTTGGGCTTCTCTGTTTATGAAAAGACAAAAGCCTGTTAAATACAACATAAAACAGGCAGTGCCCCAGCTATTCCTAATGTGTCTTACCAGGTCCCCTCCTGCTGGGTAAAAGAAAGCCACTTTGCCAGCTCCCGTCTTAGTGGGCCTGGGCCAGTGTCTTCCAAGCTTAATATGATTGTCTTTTTTTAAAGGAAAAAAACATTCTCACACAGCCCAAAGAGCATGTTCATGAAGCCCAGCCCAGGAAATACTGTCCGGGAAAATTAAAATCTTTTATCAGAAAAGGGCTCTGGTTGGAAAGCACTGTTGTGGACAGGGAGTATCCCCCTGGGCCGGTCTGGCGGTTTGTGCCGGTCCCCACAAGACAAAAAGGCAGCTTCCCTCCTGGCACCTGCAGGCCCCTCTGCTTTGGTCCCAGGACCCACAGAAACCAGCTCCACCTTGGGAGAAGCCCCAGCTGGAGATCAGACATGGTACCAAGGCCGTGGGGCACCTTCTCGGACGATGGCTATTTCAGCCCAACCAGGATGGTGGGGTCTGGGGGGAAGAGAGCTTCTCAGACGGGAGCCTGTTTACGGGGAGCCACTCTCCTCATGCTGTCCACTGCCACTCTCAGAGCAGCATCCCTGCTGAGCGCTGGCATTCAGAGGGAGGCGCCTCCCTGATCCCGGCCTGGAGGCAGAGCCGCCAGCTGGCCAGGCAGCAGCCCAGCGGCTCCGGGGGTGGGGGCGACAGGTGCTGGGCAGGGAGGTGCTAAATTGTGTAACACTCAGCAGCCACGCTACACTTGGGAAGAGCGGATGTGCTGAAAATGCCCGGTGTAGGACCAAGGTGTGCCAACCAGCCCACACCATGCCCGAGAGGCTTCGCAGCCGCCCACCCCGGCTCTCACAGCGCCCGTCCCCGCCACACTCCCAGCCGGCCGCGCCAGCTTCCCCAGGCTGTCCGGAGTGGCTGCTGGAACTGGAATAAAGTCCTCTCTGAGACAGCCCCGGGGTGGTTTCCTGCAGTTTTCTGGTGGCTGATGAAGAGGGCAGTGCTGGGCGTCAGCTACCCACCTGTGCCTGCACCCACCTGTACCTGTGCCTGTCCTTCCGCAGTTCACTTATCTAACCCACAGCCATGGCTTCGCCAGGGGAAGTGACATACTAAACACCACACTGAAACCCCCACTTGAAAAAAGAAATAACAACAAAATAATAATGACGATGAAGTCAGCTTGCCGTTAAGGAAGCCGACACGGAGCACCTGATCACCCAGCTGCCCGAGTAGGCTGGGGCCACCAGTTAAACATCTTAGCCACCAGCAGCCACTCCTCTGGGGAACTGGCCAGAAGTGACTGCGGCACCCCATTAGCTGCTGGAGCGAAGGGAAGACGTGGTTTCTCTGGAGAAAACACAGCACAGGCTACAGCAACTCTGCTGGTCAGAAGCAGGGGGTGTTGTCGTTTCCTGTCCCAGCTCCTCTGAGGCTGGGGTCGGGGAGGCTGGCCCTGCTGTGTTCTCGGGCCAAGGCTGCACAGATCACGTTCCCAGGGGTCCTGTCCACAAAAGGGCCACCACCAAGGCGGACCCCCCCCCATGCAGCCAACCCAGGGCAGCAGAAAAGGATCTGGAGACCAGGTAGAGCAGGGACAGGAGTGTGCACCTCAGGGCCACGGTGGCTAAGACCCAGCGGGAGGCTGGCTGAGGCCCCAGGCCCCAGGGACTGCACCAGGCCTCTCCGCTGTCTCACTCTGTGAGTGCTGCCGGGAGATGCCCCAGCAAAACGTTTTTCAGGACAGAGCGATACGCTGGTCAGTGGCTCCGGGGAGGACTACAACACAGATAAGTCAAAAGAAAAAATGGCACAACCTGCCCTGTGAAATCTGAGAGGAGCAAACAGGCCATGAAGGTGTTGGCAGAGCACAGACGAGGCTGTGAAGGTCCAGCGGCAGCCACGCCCCCTCACCGTGAGACCAGCAGAGGCAGCATCCTGGATGCACTCACTGGGAGGGGGGTGTCATGGGGACCAGGCGACCAGGCTCCCGGCAGATGAGCAGCGGGGAGGGCTCCAGCCTCTAGAAAGGCAGATTCCCTCCAGGCCGCCATCTGCCTCGGCACAGGAGGCCAACGAGGGGCGTGGTTTGTGACCTGCAAGCAGGAGCAGGTCTGGGCCCAGGTTTGGGGAACACCTGGGGGTCCAGCATTTGCTGCAGAGCCGAGGAGAGGAGCAGGGAGAGGCCGTGGGCTGTCATGGAGATGACCCCAGCGCTAAGAGGAGGGAACACGTGGTGCCGTACACGTCTGACTCTGCTGCGGCTGAGACTGAAACACAGCTGTCGCCTCCTCCTCCACCCCCAGGGCTGGCTGTGGCTCCACTTCTGCCTACGCTCTGCTGGGAAGAGCCACCCCAGACTGCCCAGGAGGCCTCCCTGAGTCCAGCCCCACCCCATCCAAAGTTCAGGGGCCCCAAAGGAGAAGATGGGTACAGCCCCGCCCAATGGTCAGAGGGAAGCACACGATGGCACAGAATCGGCACCTGTCTTCTCTGTCACAGACTCTCCAAATACCAGGACTTCCTGCTGAGGCCTTTAAGTGCATCCCACAGCTTCTGACCAACCACAAGCAGAGCTGGCCAACTGAAAGGGCATGTGGACCACAGGAGGATGGTGGTGAAGAGCAGACGCCAACCACAGGCCCCGCATCCACCCATGCCTGAGGTCTGCAGGGTCCACAGCAGCTTGCCGGGCCCCAGGGGAAGCCCCACAGGAGACGGACAGAGTAGGAGGCGGCATCAAGGTGGAGAACAGGGGCAGGTGAGGTTGAGGGGGCAGCAGATTCACCTGCCAGGCTCCACAGGGACTCTAAGCACCCATGACACCCACAGAGCCCCCAGCAGCATCGACTGCAAGGGGCTTTCCCCTCAGAAGAACAGAGCCGCAGCCCTGGGAACCACCTGCCCAAAGACCAGGCATGAAGCCAGAACACACTCCCACATCTTCCCAAAGACCAGGCATGGACCCGGAACACACTCCCACATCTGAGTGGTGTTCCGGGTCCATGCCTGGGTTTTGGAAGATTGGATGTGTTCCGGGTCCATGCCTGGGGCTCTGGGAAGGATGTGGGAGTGTGTTTTTCCGGTTCATGCCTTTGGCCTTGGCAAATGTGGGAGTGTGTTCCGGGTCCCATGCTGGCTTTGGCAGAAATGTGGGACAGTGTGTTTCCGGTCCATCCTGTCTTTTGGGAAAGATGTGGAAGTGTGCTGGCTTTCATGCCTGTCTTGGGCAAGGTGGTTTCCCAGGCCTGTGGCCTCGTGCCTTCCTGGAGGGGAAAGCCCCTTGCCAGTTCGATGCGCTGCCGGGGCTCTGTGGGGTTGTCATGGGGGTGCTTTAGAGTCCCTGTGGGAGCGGCAGGTGAATCCCTCCCTCAAACCTCAACCTGCCCCCTGTCTTCCACCCTTGAAAGATGCCCGCTCCTACTCTTTGTCCCGCTCCTGGTGGGGCTTCCTGGGGCCGGCAGCTGACGTGGACTCCTGCAGACCGTCAGGCAATGGTGGATGCGGGGCCTGTGGTTGGCGTCTGCTCTGTTGCTCTTTCACCACATCCTCCCTGTGTCCAACAATGCCTTTCCGTGGCCAGGCTTCTGCTTTTTGTGTGCGTCCAGAAGCCCGTGGATCACCTTTAAAGGCCCCAGCAGGAAGTCCTGGGTTATTTATTGAAGAGTCGTTGACAGAGAAGACAGGGGCCGATCCGTGCAAATCGTGTGCCTTTCCTCTGACCGTTGGCGGGGCTTTTGAACCATCCCTTCTCTCCCCCTTCTTGGGGCCCCTGAACTCTGGATGCGGTTGGGCCTGACCCTCCAGGGAGGCCCCTCCTGGGCAAGTCTGGGTGGCTCTCCAGCAAGAGCGTAGCAGGAAGGTGGAGCCACAGCCAGCCCTGGGTGGAGGGAGGAGGCGACAGCCCGTGTCAGTCTCAAGCCGCACAGAGTTCAGACG